GGGTTACCGCGGACCTTGTGGAAGGTTGATTCGGTGTGGGTTATTGTGGATAGATTGACCAAGTCGGCCCATTTCATTCCAGTGGCGACTACTTATACAGCAGAGAGGTATGCTCAGATCTATATTCGGGAGATAGTCCGATTGCATGGTGTGCCGGTGTCCATCATATCAGACAGAGGCCCTCAGTTCACTTCCCATTTCTGGAGAGCCGTGCAGAGCGAGTTGGGGACTCGTGTAGAGCTTAGCACAGCATTCCATCCTCAGACCGACGGACAGTCGGAGCGGACGGTGCAGATTTTGGAGGATATGCTTAGAGCATGTGCGATTGATTTTGGAGGGCAGTGGGATCAGTTCTTACCTCTAGCAGAGTTCGCATACAACAACAGCTATCAGTCCAGCATAGAGATGGCCCCGTACGAGGCTTTATATGGTAGACGTTGTCGTTCTCCTATCTGGTGGTTTGAGCCTGGTGAGGCTAAGGTACTTGGCACAGATCTGGTACAGGATGCCTTGGATAAGGTAAAGTTGATTCAGGAGAGGCTTCGCACAGCTCAGTCCAGACAAAAGAGCTACGCGGATCAGAAGGCACGGGATGTATCATTTATGGTGGGCGAGAAGGTTCTCTTGAAAGTCTCTCCCATGAAGGGCATTATGAGGTTCGAAAAGAAGGGCAAGTTGAGCCCAAGGTTTATTGGCCCCTTTGAGGTGTTGAGGAGAGTTGGGGAGGTTGCTTATGAGCTTGCCTTACCCCCTAGTTTATCAGTAGTTCACCCAGTCTTTCATGTTTCGATGCTTCGGAAGTATCATGCCGACCTATCCCACGTGTTGGACTTCAGCACCAGCTAGATGAGAGCTTGGGCTACGAGGAGGAGCCAGTTACTATTATTGATAGACAGGATCGCCAGCTGAGGTCCAAGAAGATTTCTGCGGTGATAGTTCAGTGGAGGGGCCAACCGGTCGAGGAGGCGACCTGGGAGTCCGAGGAGGACATGCGGAGCAGATATCCCCACTTATTCAGCAGTCCAGGTGCTTTTCTATGTCCGTTCGAGGACGAACGTTTGTTTAAGAGGTGGAGAATGTAATGACCCGACCGGTCGTTTTGCCTTTTGGAACCCCATTCCCCTAAATAAAGCCTCCCGTACTTGCTTTAACTAATTTACGACTTGCGGGGGCGATTGGTTCGGGGAATGAGAGGGTTTTGAGTAAAAATATGCCCATTTGCTTCTTTAGGATTTCTTAAAAAGACCAAGTTTGACTTCGGTCAACATTTTGGGAAAACGGGCCCGGATTCGTGATTTGACAATTTCTGAGGGTCCGTGGGAAAATATGGGACCTGGGCGTGTGTCCGGAATCGAATTCCGAGGTCCCTAGCCCGAGTAATGAATTTTTATCTAAAATTGTTTAATTGAAGCTTTAAGGAATTAAAGAAACTAAGTAATCATTGATTCCCTAGGTATCGGGCTCGTATTTTGGTTCCGAAGCTTGGTACATGTCCGTAATGTCGTTTAAGACTTGCCCGTAAAATTTGGTGTCAATCCGAGTAGTTTAAGGGCGTTTTGACCCTTAGAAGAGAATTAAGAACTTGAAGATTTAATAGTTTGATTCATTTGGTTTTAGGGGGTGATTCCGAGATTTAGCATTGTTTTGGGAGTTCCGAGGGTTCGAGTAGGTCCGCCTCGTGATTTCAGACTTGTCGGTATGTTCGGGCGGGGCTCGGGAGCCCCGAGCGTCAAAAGAGCGAGGTTCGAGCGAAGAAAGAAAATTGGAAGAGAGCTGAAGTTTGCTGCTTCTGTCATAACCGCATCTGCGGTTCTTGGACCGCAGAAGCGGTCACAAAAGCGGAAAGGGCCAGGCCCAGGGGAAACCGCAGAAGCGGCCTAGAGACCGCAGAAGCGGTCCCGCTTAAGCGGCCCCCAAACCGCAGAAGCGGTCCAGCTCCTTAGGCCTAAATCCGCAGAAGCGGCTTGCAATCCGCAGAAGCGGACCCGCATAAGCGGGTACCTGACCGCAGAAGCGGTCCAGGCTTCTTGGGCCATTTTCGCAAAAGCGGGCCTTTTTCCGTAGAGGCGACTTCCGCAGAAGCGGTCACAGTGCCGCAGAAGCGGAAGTCGCTGGGGGCAGAGAGTTCATTTAATCCGAACTCCAAGTCATTCATTCCATATACAACTCCACACTAGGGCGATTTTGGTGCTTCCAAAGAGAGGGTTTCAGCATAGCATTGTAAGGTAAGTAATCCCCATTCATCCTTAGTTTAAATACATGTATATTAGGTAGATTAAACACTAAAAATTAGGTAAAATCAAAGGGTTAGAGCTAGACCTAGGGTTTTAATAAAACTAAGATTTAATCATGTAATTTGTTATGAAATGGGCTAGAATTTATATATTATTGATCCTTAGGTTGTAGAGAACAATTTACTTTGAAAAATATCGGAATCCGGGCCCGGGGTCGGAATTTAGGAAACTTGTGGGAAAGGTTGGGAAATTACTTAAATGGTTAGAATTCGGCCTTTTAAGCCTTTATTGACTAGTTCTTACCTATTTTAACTAGTTTGCGATCGTTCGGCTTCGAATTAAAAGCTTGGTCTTGTTCTTGACATTGGGAGCGCGCTTTGGAGCGAGGTGAGTCTCCTTTCTAACCTTGTGAGAGGGAACCGTTCCCCTAGGATTAATAATTGAGTAATTGTTGCTAAATGCGGGGGCTACGCACGCGCTAGGTGACGAGAGTCCGTGCGTAGCTACTACTATGTTAATGGTTCGGGTAGTTTAGGACCCACATCATGCTTATTTTACATGACTCTCTATATTATCTTGTTACCATGAGAACCTAGGATATGCTAGAGATTTAAAAAGGGATTAAGGACGTACTTGTATAATTGTTGAAGTCTTGCTTGGCATTATGACTGTTGATGTGCCTTGTGTGTATAATTGATATTTCTACTTATTTGTGGATCGGGCCGATCGCCTCGGTATGAATAGATGCATCTATAGGCGCGTCGTCGACCCTCGGCAAGTGCACAGTTTATTTCTGTTGGATCGGGCCGTCGCCTCGGCATATTTGCGCATGCTTATTAGCTTTGCCTGAGAGTGTTAAATATTAGAACTGTTTTTTTCATGACTCGAAAGGAATTGATAATTGTAACTGAAGTAATTGATTAATCGGAATCTTAGCGAGAATATGACTTATATGCCTTGTTGTAAACTGTTGCCTATTAAAGAGTTCTCATTGTTAAACTTACACTTATAATATTATCTGACCCTAGTGAGTATCAGGTCGACCTCTCGTCTCTACTTCTTCGAGATTAGGTGGGATACTCACTGGGTACATATTGTTTATGTACTCATGCTACGCTTCTGTACTTAAATGTACAGGGTCTAAGGCAGGTGGATCCGGTTATTTCTCTGGTGCGCATTCGTGAGCAGACTTGGGACTTCTACGGTGAGCTGCTTTCCTTCCATGTCGATCCACAGCCGAAGAAGTCTTTCTTTTGTATTGTTATTTTCTGTCTATTCTGATCCAGACAGTAGGGTAGTGTGGTATTCTTTTGGGTTGTATATTCTACTAGTTGCCCGTAGCTTGTGACACCAGGTTCTGGCACACACTTTGGTAGACGATTATTTTGGGGTTGTGTAACTATTTTATTATAGTATTTATCTCTCCTGGTTTTAAATTCCAAGTTGAGTGTTTATTCCACTTATTCTAATTAAAAATAATATGATTATTTTAGTAATATATCCGCAATGGCTTGCCTGAAAAGGGTGTCAGGCGCCCTCATGACCTATTGTGAAAATGGGTCGTGACATAAATAGTCTTTTATTTATCCTATATGTCAAATGGCCAGACAACAAAGATTACCTTTCTCTGACAGTGTTATACATTCTTCTGCCCCTTTTTAGCTAATTCACATTGATATTTGGGGTCCATATAACACAATAACATATAATGGATTCAGATACTTTCTAGCATTAGTTGATGATCATACAAGAGTCACTTGGACTCATCTTCTGTCTTGTAAGAGTAATGCCCTCTTTATTCTTAAAGCTTTTGTCAACATGGCTTGGGTACATTTTCAGTCATCCGTTCAAGCTTTTAGATCTGATAATGCCTTTGAACTTGGTAGTAATTCTAAGGTTATTATGTTCTTCTCTAGCCAAGGGATCTTACATCAAACTACAATCCCTCACACTCCTCAACTGAATGGAGTTGTAGAGAAAAAACACAAGCATTTGTTGAAGGCCTCAAGGGCACTTATGTTCCAATCTAATCTTCCCCTCAAATATTGGGGAGGCTGTGTATTAACTGCCACTTACCTCAGAAACAGAATGCCCTTAGCTGTACTTTAGAATATTTCTCTTTATGAGAAACTTCACACTACTCCAACCTATGACCATCTGAAGTCTTTTGGTTGCTTATGTTTTGCCACTTCCCCTAAAATTGGTAGAGATAAGTTCCAATCCAGGTCTGTCATTTCTGTTTTTTTGGGGTACCCTTGTGGTAAAAAGGGCTACAAACTCCTCAACCTTGATAATCATGCCATATTTTTCTCAGGGGATGTAGTGTTTGATGAGCATGTTTTTCCTTACAAATCTACTTTTCCTTCTATGTTTCCGTCTCCCTCAGAATTTATGGATTTTGTCACTCCACCATCATCCTCTACTTCTATTCCTACTACTAATTCTCCTAGTACTTCTCTTCCTCCTAGTGCTCCTCATCCTAACACCTTTTCTCCTCATACCACTTCTCCTCCTAACATCTTGCCCTCTGATTCTACTACCTCTACTTCAACTTCTTCATCTGCTCCTACAAATCCCTCTCCTCCTCCTTTGAGGAAATCTACCAGAATTGTACAACAACCCACTTATCTTAAGGATTACCTTTGCTCTTCTGCTCAATTCCCCGATTCTCTTCCAACTTCTTCCAAGGTTTCTTCTAGTGATATACATGTGAATAAGTCTCAGTTCTACTAGCCGGCAGTTTTACATCCTGCATTGCAAGAGGCAATGCTAAAGGAATTTCTGGCACTTGAGATAAATGAGACTTGGGATATTGTACCTCTACCACCTCACAAGAAGGCTATCCTTTGTAAGTTGGTGTATAAAATCAAACAAAGAGCTGATGGATCCATTGAGAGGTATAAATCCAGCTTGGTGATTAGAGGGGACACTCAAAAGGACGGCAATGACTTTACTGAAACTTTCTCTCCTGTTGTCAAGCTCACAGCCATCAAGTGTTTACTCACCATTATTGTTAAGTGGGGATGGACTGTTTTCCAACTTGATGTGAACAATGTTTTCCTCCATGGTGATCTCCATAAGGAAGTTTATATGAAGGTTCCTCCTGGTGTTGTGCCTCTCTTGATTCTGGTCCTTTGGTCTGCAGACTCAAGAAGTCTCTTTATGGCCTTAGGCAGGCCTCCAAATAGTGGTTTTCAAAGCGGTCTGAGGCTCTGCATTTCCAGAGGCTACGTTGCTAGTATGAATGACTACTCCCTCTTTAATTACTAAGACTTCTTCAGGCTCTCAAATAGTATTGGTTGTTTATGTTGATGATATCTTACTAGCTGGTAATGATATTATGGAGATGGAGTCCTTAAAGTCCTTTTTAGATGCACAATTTAAAATTAAGGATTTGGGGACAATTCACTACTTTCAGGGTTTGGAGACCTCCCTACATTCTCAAGGATATATCATATGCCAACACAAGTTTCACCACTATTCTTCTCTCTGAATTTAACTGCCAACATTTCTCCCATGTGATGACTCATTTGGATTCTTCTGTCAAACTTGTGTTAGATATGGGTGCTCATGTTTCTGACCCCGGTCTGTATAGAAGGTTAATTGGGAAGCTCAATTTTGTCCAACACATCAGACCTGATATTTCATTATCAGTGCAACATCTGACTCAATTTCTTCAAAAGCCACAAGTGCCTCACATGCTAGCTGCTATACACGTGCTCAGATATTTGTTGAATGACCCTGCCCAAGGTATCCTCCTCTCCAATTCTTCTGATTTCTCTTTACAAGCTTATTCAGATTCTGATTGGGCAGCCTGCTCCATTTCTAACAAGTTAATCACTAGTTATTACATTACTCTTGGTGCAGCCCTGTCTCTTGGAAGAGCAAGAAACAGCCCATTATATCTCTGTCTTCAGCTGAGGCTGAGTATAGGGCTCTTCACAGGTCACAGCTGAAGTCACTTGGTTAACTAGGCTCCTGGGTGATCTTGGTTTGTCTATCTCCAGCCCTGTTCCCATTTTTTGTGACAGCCAGTCAGCTCTCCACATTGCTAAAAATCCAGTCTTCCATGAACGCATGAAGCACATTGAAATTGATTGTCATTATGTGCGCACTTGTCTGGATCCTGGGTTGATTTCTTTGCAGTTTGTCTCCAATGCTCAACAGTTGGCTGATATTATGATTAAGGCTCTTTCTGGTCCTCTACATCATGGGATTCTCTACAAGCTTGGTGTGTTTTCACCCTCCAACTTGGGGGGGGGGGGGGGGGTANAGGAGAGGGGAGGGGAGGGGAGGGTGTTAACCCAGATGTTTCCCGGGCCCAATCTGATAAAGGAAAGCAGCGGGCCCATTAAGAGTGGCTGTTCATTTACTTGTATTCTTTGTATTTTAGTCTGTAGTGTTGTAGTGTTTTTCTTGTGTGTCTATGATCAATTCTCGTTATAATTGGAGGTTTTTAATAATAAGTTTGATTTGATTAAAAAAATTAATTTTTTTTAAAAAAAATTCATGAGAAATTGTTACTGAAATAGTGTTCTTGTATATTTTTCTAATTTTTTGTCAATGTTTTTGTTTTGGTATATTTATAAGTGTGCTCATAAATGGCCAAAATTGTTAAAACCAAAAATGCATTCATAGTTTCGTTGTAGTAATGTATGTGCACGCAAGTATAAAACATTACTTTTTTAATTTGATATTACCCTCGTTCATTTTTCTCTCCAAAAATATAAATTTAAGAAACATTACTAAATATTACAAATATATTAGATTAAAATTAAAATTCAATAATAATTAAATTTTTCAGTTAATTTGATAACTTAAATACAATAAATTAATTAAGAAAAGGATTTTCAAACAGATCTTAGTCTTTTCTTCTCTGAATTTTCTATTTTTCCTTATTTGATGTGACATTTCTGAATTCTAAATTAAGCATTTTTACACGATTATTTGGTCTAATCCTTTTTTTTTAAGTTGAGTTTATTCAGTAGAAGCTAATCTGTTGTCATGCTGCCTCCTTCCTATTCTTTGTGACAGCTGTTGATCATCATGACTTTTATTGGTTATTTGTATATAATTATTTGTTATATTTATTTTCTTATTTTTAACGGAATCCACAGAAAAAAATGATTTTTGAAATACGAGAAATTTATACAAATATAACATGTCCAATGGTTACAGAATTCACTTTTGTAACATCGCTTATCAATATAGATTCCATGAAGTTGATAGCAAAAGGCTAAACTTATGATTGATTAATTAAACTAATTTTAACTGGAGAACATTGAAATATAAAATAATGAAATAAACAAAGAACGTGCTGAGGCACAGTAGTTAGATGTAAACGCAACGCACATGTATATCTGTTAGAAACATTAGTGATAAATGATTGCCAAACACTTCTACCTAATTAATCAATTATACACTTTTACATCTATCATTAAAGAGGTATACTAGCCTAAGGGGTCGTTTGGTACAATGGTGGATTAAATAATTAAATATAGATATTATGTGAATTTAGCTATTTGATTTTTATATCTAGATAGTTAATCCTACCATTTTAGTATAAAATTTACCTGGAACTAGCTATACCTATAATCAAGCATGGAATATATATAATCTAAAATTCTAAGATTATTATTCGTATCCTTTGTACCAAACGACTATTGTAACTTAAAAAACTACAAAAAATTAATTATCATTTTTATTTCAAGCTATCAATTAATGCTCATCATAAAAATTTATTTATAATTAACTAATAAGTGATCGAATTATGTAAATAGTTTAACATGCCAGTACTTAAAAATATTCTTTATACAATTAGACCTCTATGTAACATCATCCCTATATAACAACACTTCACTATAAAAGCCAAGCTTTTCCGGAACCAATTTTCATGTTATGTTATAATACATGTTCTATATAACAACACTTCGCTATAACATCCAAAAATATTCGGAACAAACGAGGCTGTTACAAAGAGACTTTGACTTTATTATATTTTGGTAGTTGTAAAGTCGACAAGGTTATAGGAAAAAACTATTAACCCTACACATCAGAGTAGTGGATCTCATTTACTCCAATTTTGATGTCATACATACATTTCACTGCAACAACTTGACTGACAACATGCCAAATGTGAAATGATTTTTGGAAACATAAACATCTTTCAAGGCAACAAATGTTTGTAATTTGAAAAGCAACGTTGACAATAACTTGTACCACTCAAGCAAAGCATATTATATATATTGCATTTAAAAATGAAAACTATTTTTTAAACTAGGTTTAAAATTCTTTAAAAAGTAATTGGTGAGGTCCATGCCCTAAGTTCCACTTCCTATCAGAATAGTTGGGTTAGGCAGGCCAAGTTCAAGTTCACAACTGACAGAATTGAATAGTCTACACGGAAATTCTTTTGTTATTTGCTTTCTCTTTATGGTGCCTGCATATTAACCATAAAACAAATCAAGGAAGACCACTTTACGATGCAGGCTTAATTCCTTAAATACAGATTATTATATCCCCAAATAAAAGATTAATGATTGTAATCACACTATCCTATATATCACTCGCTCTATACATTTCATGAGTAAAAATAACTAACAAAATGTTTACATTACCAACTTATGGTTCAAGCTACCCTAGCAACTAACAAATTGCTTTAACCATGTATTTCTTTTTTTGGTTTCCCACCGGGTGTCCGGTATTCACATAAGGGCCCAACTAAATACAAATTTGTGTCAGAAAGTCCTACATTGGGAGGTAAAACACTCCATACAAAGGAGACTCCGTACCCACAGGTTGGAGGTGATGAATAAGTACTTATCACTCCTCCACCACCACCCTTGCTAGTTAACCATGTGCTTTCACTGATTGGTTATATATTTCTGCCCCCCCCCCCCCCCCCCCAAAATTTGTATTAAGCCCTGCTTCTGTCACTGTTTACTCAGTGGTATTTCTGAGGATTAATATTGATTAACACTGAGCAAAATGTGATCGATCGCTGTCTAATGCAAATAAGCTTTTGATAAGAAAAACAAATAGGATCCACAAATGAACCACTGAAATAGAAAATTAATAGCCAATCCTAATGAAGTATCAAGAAGAACCATGATAATTAATCCCCAATTTCAAGAAATTACTTCTGTACAGTAAATACAAAAAGTAAAGCCACAATGATTATCTAGAATCTGTTTGAGATTATTTCTTCTGCCTTTGTTTTAAATTTTGTTCATATTTCATGACAAAAACACCTCAACACCAGCAGTTGTCATCAACTGGCAGATAGGACATACATTAACTAATCCTTCACAATCTTTACATAAACACAAGTGTCTACAAGGCATCAATAAGATGGATACCTCCTTCAATTTGCACACCTTGCACTTCAAATTGGCTTTTTTCGCCGATGTACCTTTCCCAGAACTACTAGGGATGCTGAGCCAATTGTTTGGATCAGTGCAGGACACAGCATCATCTAGCTCATTGTCTCCCGTACCTTCTTTTCCTTGTTCAGCAGACTGCATCGCTTGCTGGAGGTTCATTCTTAATGTGCTGACTAAAGATTCGTTACACTTGGCTCTATAACACCAGTTTTGTGCTTCTGATGTAACTTGCTTCATTCGTTCAACCAGTTCTCGGTTCTTCCGGTTTATGTTCTCTAACTCAATATCCTTCTCTTGCAACTTAGTGCCGACATTTTTCTCAAGTGCAGTCACCAACGAAGCCATATGTCTCTGTTTTATGTCTCTCACACCTCTAGCCCAAGTTTCTTCCTGTAAAAGGCCAATGCAATAACAACATTTAAATAAACTTGTGCAACATATGAAGTTTCAGTAATTTGTACATGGGTAGTTGTTCCTAAGAGACTGAAGTTAATTTTACCCAAATACAGTTATGACCATTTTAAAATTGCTTTTTAACAACATGCCACATGTTATTCTTTTTCTTTAATATGGCCAAAATATGCATAGGTGTGTGACTTACCAATTCCAAAAATAACCAACTCTCTAAATTTCTCTCCTTCCAGATATTTTGTAACTAATATCTTATTATCTGCACATATGTTTTCATCTAATTTTTTAAGGCAAACAGAAAGTGCATGATGGTACTATCTCCAGCCACTTCTCTTATTAACTACAGAGCTGCGACAATGGAGCCAAAAAGGGCATCTTATCAGTTTTAACAGAAGAGAAGGGCAATTAATATAAGCAAGAGAAATAAATATTGATGTGTTCAATAGCCATGTGTCATTTTGAGAAAAATCGAGTTGTCTTATGCCAAAGGAGCAGAGAAACATGAAAAGAATGAAGCGCAACAAAAGCGAGAAAATGTAAAAACTTGGACACTTTCCTAAAAGAGCCATCTACTAACTGTTAGGATACAGACAATAACTGAAAAGACAGTCTACAATAAAACAAATTCGAATGTTAGGAAAATGTAGTACCATACCTGAGTCTTAATATATTGATCAAATTCTTTCTTCTGGCGCTCCAGCTCCGTTTTAATGTTGTCACCTAGAGACATCATAACTGATGCTGATGCATTCATACTTCCACTTGCAGAAGTGACCGAAGAATTGGGCTCATCATCATCGTATGATAACTTTAAACCAGTTGAAACAAGATTCTGGCCAGGAATATTAGCTGGCCGTTCAGTGTCATCATGAACCACATTGTGGTTCAAGGAAATTTGAAGCTTTTGCTGCCGGGAAACACCTTCAGCTTCCCTGCCTCGTTTATTGTGCCGAATCAGGTGCTCATTTACAAAATTATTTACAGGATCAGCATTGGATCCAAGTGGAACTGTAGAAAAAGAAAAGGGACATTGTAAAGGCTTTTGTATAACAATCTGAAATGAGTTCATTAGAGGTGCAGCAAAATTAACATGCTTAGTATAAGTACAAGAAAATATCAAACAAAATATCGGGTGATGCCTCGAGAATTTTTCTGCAATAGCTCACTGACTCTTGTTCTACTTGAGCATAAACTTAGATGTGAAATCTTAATACTGAAGTTTTCCTCTTCAAAGTTGACTTGATATGCTCTTCAATTATTTTCTTTTAGCACATAAGTGTTGCAATCTCAAATAATAATATAATATAGTGCCAACTTTTAACTCTACTTCATTATTTAAAGCTATATTATTGAAGCTAAGCTAAAGGGTTTTTAACCCAAAAAATCCTTCATGTTTACCCATACGTCAACTGCATCACTAAAATATGCCAGTTAAGCATGCACGTCCTTCATATTTACTAAAAGTGACAGGTCTCATCCAAACTCAAATGGAAGTCTATAAACTACCGGTAGACTGCTCACTGAAGCCTCTTTGCACGAAAAACTAAAATGGGAATTTGGGAAAAACAAAGCTGTATGTTTTTGTGATAGATAGAGGGAGAAAAAAAAGCTACATGTAAGCTGAGAACTCATTGGAAAAGTAACAAAGGACAG